CAAATATACCTCTACTGACTGTAAAATATCTTACAAGCCATCAGCAGCAAAGATTTATTGAAGCGCATAGTATGTACTAAGCACTTGGTATGCGGTGCTTTTTACTTAATCCTCACATAGCCTTTGAGAGGTAGGTAAAATTATTATTCCTATTGTCATGGGCTGAATGATGGCTCCCAAAGATACCCATGTCCTAATCCCCAGAACATGCAAATGCTGCCTAATGTGGCAAAAGGGAATTTACAGGTGTGATTAAATCTCCTTGAGACAGGAAGATAATGCTAATCCCAGTGTCCTAAAAAGGAGGCAGAGGGAAATCTTGCATAGATGAAAGCAATGTGACAACAAGATGTTGCAGCAAGATGCGACACTGTTGGCTTTGAAGATGGAGGAAGGGGCTATGATCCAAGGAATGCAGCTGTAGAAGCTGGAAAAGACAAAGAAAGAGATCTCCCCTGGAGTTTCCAAAGGAGCGTGGGCCTTGACTAAGTGAAGTTGGCTTCGGACTTCTAACCTCTGGAACACTAGAAGAATATATGTATGTCATTTTGGGCCAGAAAGTGGTAACCATTAGTGCATCCATAGGAAACTCATATACCCCTTTGCAATCAAGGACAGGAGGCAGAGAGTATTGCCCAAGGGGTGGAATGAGGTTTCCTGACCCCAGACCCCCATATTTTATCTTGGACATTGCCTCGTCTGTTGTATGTGTCCTGACCTCTCCTGGATTTATTATTCCCCTCCTGCCCTCCTCCTGATTCTCCCACTACCTCCATCCTCCAATCCTGTGGACTTTCGTAATCCACCTGATGCCATAGTGTGGTAGAAGCAGCATATAAATAAATACATCAGTGGACATTTGTGGCATGTGAATGGAGTGAAGTCCCTGGGCTTTTGCTAGCTGTGGAGATGGTCTTATGATTTAACAAAAGAAAGGTCCCCAGCTGCTTCTCTTCCTCCTTCTGCTTTTGTAAAGACTGCCACTCTTTTCTTTACTATAGCATGAACAGTTGGACAGAGCAGGACTTCTGCTTTTTCAGAAAATCGTGCTCATTTCCTAATCAGTATTCAGAGCCCAGTAACTGCTTGTGAGCTTCTTTCTTTCTCCCAAAGGATTTTTGTCTTATTTAGAACAGTGTCCAGCCTAAAAGCTCTCCCTCCCACTAAAATTATAAAACAAAACAAGAAGGAAAATAATGAAGCACTAAACTCAGAAAACAGTAGATCCTTTATTTTTGTAGGATGACATCCCCACATCTGTGTGAATGTAGGGATTCTAGAAGCCCTGATATGCACTGAGGATGTCTGGATACCAGGGTTTCATACAGGGTCACAACACGTGGCCTTTGCTCTATGTTAACAATGTGAACGTCTTGGGGGTGAGGGAGCTGCCCTGTTATGAATCCAGCAGCTAAAGGGAGGAATGTTTCCATCCGGGAGGGGTATGTGACCATTCAGTGCCTGATAGCTCAATGGCTCTCAAGAGATGAGGCAGGGCTCACCTTTGGAGAAGCCCCCAGGGCATTGCTTTCTTTTCTGCTGATCCTAAAGTATACCAAGAATCTTTCCGAAGTTGAGGCTGTTGATATGATACTAGTTTAGACTTTTATCATTTCTTTCCTGGGTTATTGATTCTATAGCCTACACATCCCGGCTGTGGCCTCAAACAGCTTTCAATCTAATATCCATGCTCCAACCCATTCCCCGAGGAAATCTTTCCAAAATGCAATCTCCTCATTGCCGAAGGGATGCAGCTCCACCACGTCTCTTGTATTAGGGTTCTCCTGTTTCTCTGGAGAAATATCTATATCTATCTATATCATCTATATCTATATCTATATCATCTATATCTATATCTATATCATCTATATCTATATCTATAAAATAGAAAAAGAATTATCATAAGGTGTTGACTCACATGATTATGGAGGCTGAGAAGCCCCATGATCTGCCATTTGCAAACAAGAGACCCAGGAAGGCTGGTGGTGTCTGAAGGCCTGAGAGAGAGGCAGAAAGCCAGAAGAGCTACATGCAGGAGGTCCAAGTCCCAGCTTACAGTCAGGCTGAGAGAGTGAGTCCTTCCTTCCTCCACCTTTTGTTTCTGTTCAGGCCTTCAACAGACTGGACAGTGCCCACTCACGCTGGGGAGGGTGATCTGCTTTTCTCAGGCCACTGATTCTGGTGCTAATCTCCCCTGGACACACTCTCACAGTCATACCCTGAAAGTGTTTAATCAGTTCCCTGGGTGTCCTATGGCCCAGGCAAGGTGACACATGAAATTCACCATCACTCTTGGGCTCTGCCCACATTCCCTACCTCATTTCTCATCCTCTCTTGTGTTCCAGTCCTTCTGCAGTCCCCTGAACTCTGCCTGCTAGCATCTCCCTGCTGTCACACACGTGCCAGAGTTATCCTTCCTATCCCATACCTCTACCCCACCTGCCTTCACATAGCAGGAGATTAAAGCATACCAGAGTCAGCCAGACCTGGGATCAACTCATTTTAATTCCACAGATATTGACTTCATGCCTTCTCTGTGCCCCCAAGATGTAATTCTGCCACTATTACCTGTGTGTCCTTGGAAGAGTCACCTGGCATTTCTAACTCTCGCTTACACATCTGTAAAATATTAATGCGTAGGAAGAATTTAGCATGGTGCCTGGCACATGTAAACCTTCCAAGGACATAAGGTGTTATAATTGCCATTTTTATCATTCTTTGAGGCTGAGGTCAAGCTTGATGACCCTTTCCCTGGTAGGTTAAGATCCCCAACCTCACCCCCTCCAACTACCATGACCCCCGGTGCATGACGCACGCCTCTATTCTGGCGCTTCCCATTGAGCATTTCCCCTATTGTTTAGTTGTCTGATCTTCCCACTACCCTTTGATGAGAACTGTGTCTCTTTCATTCTTTTTCCCTGAGTGACCAGAGCAAGACTTGTGCCGACATTTGTTGACTCCATTGAGTAGCTACCCAGAGGGAGGAGTTATCCCCAGAGGCGGGTGATATGCTTTTTTTTCTTTTCCTGGTGCATCCACTTCTCTTGCTTTTCTTGGCAATGACTTGAAAGGCTGTGCCAGCCTTGGCTGCAGGCTGCAGTCTGGTCTGAGGGAGGGATCAGCCATGGCAACCTTTTATGGGAGGATGAATTAGAAAAACAAATTCCGAGCAGCCCATTCATCTCAAGGCTCTCTTCTTATCCTGCACCTACAATGCATACATGCCAGCAGAAAGCATCTCATTCCCATGGGAAGAGCAAGAGTAATGAGATCAAGGCCTATAGCATTGAGCCATTCATTGTCTTTTACATTAGAAAAAAAAGTGTTTTTGTGTGTTTCAATGTTCAATGTTCCTTCTTTTTAAAAGAGTGAAGTCAAGTTGGACAAATGGTTCTGGAGGCCAGCCTGACCATCCCAGCCTCTCCAAGGAAACTCCTGAGGTGGCAATTGTAGGATCAGCTATCTGCTCAAATGCAACATCTCCACTACTCCCCAGCTTATCATGGGGCCAATTTAAATACTTAAAGGACATTTTTTTTCTAACTCCTCCAATCAGAACTGCCTTTTGCTTCCTGTCTACCTCCAAAGTGTCATATTTCATACTGGCATACTTTGTCATGAACCTATCCCTCTAATGTTCATTCAAGTTGTGATCCTGAGGTTGAGTTCATTTTTCCCACTCAGGCCCCCTTTGTGGACTGAATTGTTCCCTGCTCCTCACCTGCCAATTCATATGTTGAAATCCTAACCCTTGGTACCTTAGAATGTGATTTTATTTGAAGATGGGTTCTTTAAAGAGGTGATTAAGGTTAAATGAAGTCCTGTGGGTGGGCCCCAATCCAATAGGATTGGTGTCTTTATAAGACAAGAAGGCACAGAGGAAAGACCACGTGAGGACATTGGGAGAAGATGACCATCTGCCAGCCAAGGAGAGAAGCCTCAGGAGAAACTGACCATGTTGACACCTTGACCTGGGACTTCCAGACAAAGAGCTGTGAGAAAATAAATATCTGTTGTTTAAGACCCAGTCTGTGGTACTCTGCTCCAAAGTGTTGGTTCTGACTCTGACTGCAGCAGCTCCCTGCATTCTATTGATTAGATTGTGTTTTTTGTTAGCAAAGACATATGTCCCATTGGGGTAATAACCATGGCTCATTCTCATTGGTTATGTCTGGCTCTGGACAAAACCCTGGCATTGAGAGATCAGGTAAGTGTTGAATTCATGAGCAACACTGCTCTGGAATGTCATACAAAGGGCAGGAATCTACTCTTTGGGCATATGTGATCTTTTCACTCAATTTGCAAACTAAATAAACTGGAAAGATAGCCCAGGTATACAGTTTGGGGTGGTGGTGACTATTGGAAGCATTTTTTATTTTTTTATATTAAAAAAATCTTTAATGTGTATTTATTTTTGAGAGAGGGAGGGAGAGAGAGACAGAGAGAGAGAGAGAGAGAGAGAGAGAGAGAGAGAAAGGGAGCACAAGTTGGGGAGGGGCAGAGAGAGAGACATACACACAGAATCCAAAGCAGGCTCCAGGCTCTGAGCTAACAGCACAAAGCCCAATGTAGGTCTTGAACCCACCAACTGTGAGATTATGACCTGAACCAAATGGCACACTTAACCAACTGAGCCACCCAGGTGCCCTGAAAACATCTTTTCTTAATTTTGAGCTGATGGGGGTGTCAGGATTTGGTAGACTCCTTAGTCATTTTTGTTGTTTTCTGGCTCTGCAGTATTAATGAACTGCTCCATTTAGACTCAAGGCCTTTTTCATGTCCTTTTCGTGGCTCTCTTTGGGCTGTTTCCTACTCACACCTCCCACCCCACCTTCCCCCAAGGGCTCTCGAATCACCTTGCAGAACCACTACAAGTGGAGAAAGTGTTTAGCCCCTGGGCCCCTCATCCTTTCCCCACCCCAACTAAGCACTTCAGTGGCCCCTTCCATGGGCCTTCATTTTCCCATAAACACAAACAATGATGTTTTGAAAGACCTTACCACAACTCTGGTAGAACACTTCCAAGTTTCCATCCCGGCAGACCGTGTGTGGGGGCCAGGCTTTGCCGTTGCTGCTGGGAGATATCAGAGTCCAGATAAGGAGGAGGACCACCGTGACACCCTCCATGAGAGACCTTGCATGTGACCCACAGAAAACTAGCAGTCCCAATGCAAAGGGCCTTCCGGGTCCTCTCTGTCCTCTCACTACAGGGGTGAATGTTCAGTTTCACTTCTCATATTTTATTCTCCCAAGGAACCGCTGTGAGATGCATTTGAATACTGTTCCCCCAGGACCTTTGACACTTGAATGAGCACGGTGAGGATAGCTTGTGTCTAAGGTAGGCTGGATGTTGATGTTCCACTTTCATGGGGAGGAGCCAGCAAGTGATGCATGACCTTATGCCATGGTCCCCCTCCAAACAGCCCCCTTAGAGTCCTGCACCCCCAGGTGGAGTGGTGAACTCAGGAAAGCAACACCACAGTACCCCCATGTCTCCATAGGCTCCTATGTGGGCTGTGGACCAGGGACCTGGCGGGGTGCCAGCAGGCATCATTTGGCATTTGGAGGGCTACAGAATAACATTTGGAATCTGGAATGAGGTTTTTGCCCTGTTGGCATTTTCTCCCGTTTGGCTCCAGCCCACTCTCAGGGTTAGGGTTTCAGCAGTGAATTGTGCAGCTGTGAGAACAGAGTTTGTTCCGGGAGCAGCAGATGTGGCCTCTGGAGGTGTGGTGGAGGGAATGGCCCTGAGAGCTGAGCTGTGTTCTATTTCTAGGTTTGGCTTCGTGAAAGGGGTGGCGAAGGAGGGGGAAGTGAGGGCCTCCTTTTTAAGATGGTGTGGAGGAAGGTTAATTTCTTTGGTCATTGGAGGGATGATTAATGTCACATCCCACTTTCTCTTCAAAGCCAAGAGTCTGTCCCCCTCTTCCACTACCTCTGTTGTTCTGCATCACAACGGCAAAATTTGTCAACCCTGGTTCCCCGCCTCCCACCTCAACTTAGTTTAAGAGAACCAGAGTCAGGGCCAAGGCAAGCAGATTGGAGAAGTAAACAGAGTACACTATTTCCCCTGGGAGGAAAAGCATTTCTCTGAGCTCACTAGACAAATTGACTGTTTCTGCTGATAGGTAACTTTAGTTACCTCAAAACTTCTTTTGAAGTAAGTGGAACTTAATTACCAGGAAAACAAATACATTGACTTAATTGATGGGTATTTAGGATTTCATGGGAGACATCACAAAGTAGCCATTTGGGGAAGGGGGAGGTCTGGGTTGATTGTTTTGTTTTGTTTTGTTTTTTAGGTACTCATCTGTAAATAAGTTTAGAGATGTTGGCTTTCAACAGTGATTACCAAAATGTGGTCCCCAGACAACAGCATCAACTTCAACTGGGAACTTGTTAGAAATGAAAATTCTTTGGGCTATATGCAAGACCAGGTGAATCAGAAACTCTGCAATGGGGGTGGGCACTGTGTTCTAATAAGCCCGCTGGTAGTTCTAGGATGGGAACATGGAGGCTGTCCCTAGGGAACTTTGAGTGCTCTAGAAGGTGTTGAGAGAATTCTGACCAGTGAATGAGGAGAGCAATTGAGGCTAAGCCCTTCCACTCATGCATAGCACTGTATAGCCAACACACCAGTGGAAGGTTCCAGGATGGCAGAGCAGGGAGCAGGTATCCCGACAGAGAGCTATAAGTGGCTGCCAACATGCCATCTGAGGATCCAGCCATAGATTGTGAAGCAAAGGACCTAGTGATGAAAAGAAGCATAATTCAGGAATTGTTCTGACATTTGGAAATGGCAGTGGGGGTTGGACTTGAGTGGGCATCAGCTTCAGGTGTAGGGTTTGTTAATACATAGATTGCCAGGCCCTAAACCCAGAGTTTCTAGGTTGTAGATTCAGGAAACCTGGGGTGGGCCCTGAGAGCCTGCATTTCTAACAAGTTCCCAGGTGATTCCATTGCTGCTGGTCTGGGGCCACAGTCCGAGAACCTCTGCTACTCTATAAGATTTGGTCTGTGGCATTCAGTTTTGTTTTGTTTTTAAATCATTTTAGTTTTTCCCAAACATTCTTGTGCTAAATGGTAGACATTTTGTATAACACATAGTAGACCCACATAGGAATACAGAGTGAGCCACTTGTTCTACAGAGTTCTGCTTACTGAAAATGAGGATTTGCTTGAAATCATCAGCTATGGTTCATCAAGTTCAAGCAATCCGAAATGTATTGAGGAGTTCTTTAACTAGAAGCTTTATAAAGACAACAAAAGAATTCATTAACAATGTCCTATTTCTGAACTATAAAATAGAATTAGAATCCATTTATGATAGCTATGTAAAATATGCTTTTATAGATGTAAATGGTAACTAAATATACCGTCAGGCTCTCATATTGACTTCCAACACCTTACCAATCTTAGCCAAAGAAGCTGTACTTTTTATTTTGCTTTTTTTTTGTAATCCCCTTCCTCTGCATTTCAAGCTGCTTTCTTTTCATAGGGGTTTGCATATGGATGGTGCCTTTATTTTCTTGCAGGGTAAGATGTTATTATCAGGATGGCCATCACTGAAAGTGTTCTTTTTTTAATGTTTATTTTTGAAACAGAGAGAGGAAGAGAGAGAGTCCCAAGCAGGCTCCACTCTTTCAGCGCAGAACCTGATGCAAACCATGAGATCATGACCTGAGACAAAATCAACAGATGGTTGCTTTCCTGACTGAACCACCCAGGTGGCCCTGGAAGTGTTCTTAAGAAGAGAACTCTTGATGTTTAAGCAGAGATTTTCAGAATAAAAGGTGAGACTCTGAGGACATGGGAATACAATTACCTTGGGAAAGTGATTCAATCTTGGTGTGGGCACTGCACTTCTGCGTACATGGAAGGGGCTTCAGGCCAATTTTATCTACATCTCATGTGCCAGCAGGTGGCAGATAGCCCTAACTCTCCTTTATCACTGAGGGCTGATGATGTGGCACTGTCTCCAATGGCAAATGTGTCTTCATCAACCCTTGTCTTCAACTATGGCCACTCTTCCTTCAATGACCCTCAGATATTTATTCTATTAGCAACAATTTCCTGTTGTATTGCACTGCCACTTTGGTCTGTGTCTGTGTTTCTGCCACACTACAGCTGGATGAGTGAGGTTTGATCTCTTCATGCTTTTGGCTTCCAGATTGAGTGAAAACTAAAAATGACTCCCCAGTGTGTAGAAGTCAGGAAGACATGCCACTTCCTGTGTTACATCATTTAGCAGCCCCCTGAGCTGCCTGCTGAGGTTTCACTATTTAACTATTTTCATGCCACTGTTATGTGGGCTACATGTGCCAACTACTGAGTTTTTCCGTAGTATCTCCCAGACTTTTGGAAGACTCATCCCAGGGAAAATGTGAGATCCAAGAAACCCCTTGGATTTTTATTACCATTACATTATGTGTATGTACCTGATAGAAAAGTATAGAAACAGCCTGCTTTCTACAGAAAACAAGGAAAAATCCAACTATTTGTCTACTTGCTTCAGATTCATTCACTTATTTATTCAGCAAGTATTTATTAAGCACTCTAGCACACCAGATATGGTCTCAAGCACTGGGAATGCAGCAAAGTCCCTATTATCAGTGAGCTTGCTTTCTAGTGGAAGGAGATGACGATCAGCAAATTTGTTTAGTACTATCGTTTAATAAAAGAGATTTTGCTTCTTGAAAAATTGCTTGGGTTTCACGTAGAAAATGGGATTGAGTTTTCTGAAATATTTTCAACTGACTATTACATATGTATACTAAACTTTGTTTTACTCGCCCCAGATAAATGAGGCAGCTCATCAGGTCTTTCCAATAACTGTTTGTTTCAACAGATAAACTGTAGCAGGACTATCTGAAAAAAACCCTAACACTCTTACCCCCCATTTCCTTATTATTGCCTCATGTAGTATCATATTAATATCCATTATCATTATTCTGGGGGGCTTAATATGCAAAGTACTTGGTTTCTAAATGGGTCTGTAAGTTCTATGACAAAATTCAAACAGAAATGATTTTTATTTGTCTGAGGAATCTGTACCTTGGCCTGGGAAGAGGTGGGTTCTCTAGGTCAATCTGATCAATTTCCAATAATGAAAGGGCAACAAATGGCATTTTCTGATTAAGGCAGAATATCATGGTCCAAGATGCAGGTCTAGTCTGAAATCACTGATGCACATCGCCCCAAAATTCTCTATAGCATGGTATCAATGACCAACTTGTCCTCAAATTGAGAATGCTCTCAAGACTTCATTTGACTAAGATTGAAGTGATTTTTAAGAATTTTTTAAATGTTTATTTATTTTTGAGACAATGCGAGAGACAGAGTGCAGGCAGTGGAGGGGCAGACAGAGGGAGACAAAGAATCTGAAGCAGGCTCCAGAATCTGAAGCTGTCAGCCCAGAGCCCAATGCGGGGCTCGAGCTCACAAACCATGACATCGTGACTTGAGCCGAAGTCAGACACTTAACCAACTGAGCCACTCAGGCTCCCCTAAGATTGAAGTGATTTTAATAGACTGAAGGAAAAGCATTAGAGAGGAAACCAGAAGTGGGGTGAAGAATGAAGAGAGTTCTTTTACCTGATTTGCTCCTATCATGAGCAAAGCCCTAGGCTCAGGCTTCAATAGGTACATCCAACTGTGGTTGCTTCCTGAACTTTCTGCTGGCCATTATGGGATTTGCACTCATCACATTCAAGCCAAGTTCTTTGAGAGCCCATTTTGATGGACTGGCAGGTGGCAGCTGGAATAAAATAATGTGTCTGTCTTTGCATCAGATCCCTGGAGATTTTCTTGACTTCTTTCTCCTGGCAGTGGTTGTTGAATACACCTAGAATTCTTCTGGAGAGGTTATCATGGAGAGCTTTCTAGTCCCTGATGTAGTAAGCTTCCTCAGCAGTAACCTCAACATATAAATAAATAATCACAAATAATGATCTTTGAGATCTTTTTTCTCCTCTGCAATAAAAAAAATAGCCAAGTGGACACCTACTATGTGCCAGATACTCTTCTAAGCACCTCGATATATATTCCCTCATTATTTCATCCTTATAACAGCTTTATGGGGTAGCTGTATCTCCATGATCCCCCATCTACAATGTGGAAATCCCAAAGTCTTGAAAAAGGAAGACTTTTTTTTGAAACTCTTTTAGTAAAAAAAAGTCTGATCTAAACTGAGAGT